ATATTTAACTGAATTTTATTATGTTCGATCCTTTAACCGATCGACAGATTTTCTTCCGATCGATTTGATGTATCGATTTACAAAAATTGGATGATTAATATGGCAGATACTTTATATAAATATCCGCTAACTGATTATAATCATTATACAATCGACACAAGTTAAACTTGGAGAGAGACATTTGTATCTAAAATTAACATCAAACGTTCTATCGATCGATTCAAATCGTTAAGCTCTAGCACTAATTAAATGCAGATAAATTGAATTTCATCAGTTGAAATTTAAAGAAAAAAATCTTTTGGATCCATTATTTTCAGTTTATTATTTATATAACTGCATCTGCCGTTATTAGAAGTAAATTAATTCCGATCGTCGTCCTTAGAAAATTGCATTTACTAAGACTTAAACATGTTATTTTTTCCCTTTGTCTGTAAAAAAATTATTTATTTTAATGATAAGAATTGTTAATTGATAGCTTTAGAACAATATTTAAATAATAAATTACAGAAAAATTCGCCTAAGAAACAAATTAGAATTTTTAAAAAACTAAAAATTAGTCGGAGAAGATGAAATTAAGCGTAACTCCTAAATGATGTTAACACCATTGTATAGAGTTTAGTGGTATGTAAATTATTGAGTTTACAACTGCGAATCCTTCGAACATAAAATTCAAAAATGGAGTGGATGAGATAGTCAAACAATTTTAATTGATATTCTCTATTGTAGATTTGGATCGAATCCTTCTAAACTCAGTGAATCGAAATGGGATCGTTGATTTTATTAAAGATCTATGATCCTTATAAATCTGTGTTATATGAATTAGGTGACAATTTCTGTTTTGATTTATCTTATCTGTTTGATCTTCGATAAATGTGCAGGCATTTGTAACTTCTTATCAAAAGATTGATAGCATTGCTGATCTATGTTCAGATATAAAGGGTACTTTGATTTTTGTCTAAAAGTTTGTCGATTATTTTGAAATTTGAGCAATTTTTTTTCCTCCATTTTCTGCAATTAAATTATTTATATTCAATCGTGTTATGTGTATCGAAGCGTTTATACGTCTATCTACAGTACTTTATTATTTAATTTCGGAATGCGGTTTTTTTATGTTAATTTACGGATTTATATAGCAATTTCATAAAGAATTCTTTAAGATTTTTTAAAAATAATTTATTTTCTTAATGTGATATAATGTAGTGTGCTGCATTTTTTAACTTTATCACCTTAGTTTTCAATTCATTAACTTCTAATTCAGCTTAAATCACAACATTTTTCTAAAATGTCAAGAAATTGCAATTATTTATATACTTTTGTTTTTAAGGATTTAAGTAAATTAGCAAGAATTCAACCAGACTATTAAGGAAAAAATCAGGATTTATTTCGGAAATTCTTTTTAACAATTCCAAATCTAAAAATCAAGTAACTATTTTCAACACTTTTCTACAGATTTAACTCTACAAAAATAGGTTTTAAAGAGCGTTAAAGATAGGTGAAGACTACAAAAATAACTCCCATAAAATTCATATTTTAGTCGTTTTAATGATTTATAAATCTATTCTTTCGGTAATTTAATAATAAAACTAAGCTATTAAGCAGTAAAAAAATTTGATTTTGTATAGATTGGGACTAATCTTAATACATTTCTCTAGTACTGATTGTTATTATAATTCTTATAAATGTGTAGTAATAAAAAAAATGAATCATTCGTTAACATCTTATAAACTCAATTCGCTCGGTTTAATATCTATAATTAGGATTTTGAAATGTTATTTTCCAGATATTTTGTATATTAAAATAAAGAGAAATTTCTAGACTTTACTTCTCTAATTTCCAGATTTTATTGAAAGAATAATAATATTTTATATTTATAATCTTGAATTTTAATAAAGATATTTCTAGTAATGAACCAAAAGCAATTGTTTGATGTTCATGTTTGTAGAAAAATAACAATTTATATTTTCTTTTCTGAATTTAAAACATTTTGTTAAATTAAATCTTCCTTCCATTTCAATAATACTTTTTTTTCCTTTCTTCTTCTTCTTTTTTTGATGGTAGCTCAATATCTAAAAGCATCGATTTTTTTTATTTCTCCAATAATATCAAGTGTTTTCTAAAGATTTCTTAGTTTTAAATTGATAAATGTGTCATGTGACAAGAAAATGGATCAATTCAGCAAAAAGTTTGTTACAAACACGTCAAGTCATTATCATTTATTGATTAGAAATTTTTTTTTCCTCGTAAGAAGAATGATTGATTCGTTATATTGTGGGTATACTGCACTTCGTCTCAATTATAAAAATGGTTTATTAATAGTTTAATAATCATAAAAGTGCACTAACAGATCAAAAATAGTCGTATGAGAATTAGATAATATGTATTACATAATATATAAAGTCTAAATGCCAAAATGTACATGTCTAATGGTAATATGATTGATGTTATGTTATATTTTAATATTGTATACTGGGAAATTGTGCGAT